GCCTTTCTTGAACAGTTTGAATTTTTATCCCTCTGCTGTCTGATAACGATCTTCTGATATTACTTTCACTAGAAGTATCCAGAGGGTGATCTTGTAACTGCAGAAGCCAAACTAGAGACATAGTGCAAATTGATGTTTGGCTTCCTGGGTGGTGCCATCGAGACAGTTTTGGCTTTGGTGGCAATAGGTTGTACTTTAATGATTGTAGCCTGTCAGGGAAGGATGAGATCCACCTGTGTAAAAAACGTAAGAAAATCTTTGGTAGCAGACTGGCTAATTTGGTGAGGTGGGCTTTAAATTGAAGGACTGGAGAGGCGGGGTTCAAAGTGGCAATGCTTATGCCATTGCTTCCTCCTGGGGAGTAGGCCATTCCAACTAGTGCAGCGACAGATGCTCTTTGGCTGCCTCTCAAGATGAGAATCATAGGGCTGGCAACATCCGTCTCTGACTTCGGACGTTCAGCTTCTCCTACGCGTCGCTTTCCAGAAACTCAAGCGCCTGTGGTCAGGCGTAGAAATGTGGAGCTCAGCTGGAGCGCTGCTGAAGGGCTCTGCCCGAGCCGCTCGGGCGGGCAGCGCAGGGCAGGGCAGGGCAGGGCAGGGCAGAACCCGCTCTACCGCGGTGGGGGACGCGCACAGGCGGCTCCGCGCAGCCCGGGGAACCCCTTGGGCGGGGGCTCCGCCGGACGGGGAGGGGCTGGGCGGGGGCTGCCCTTCCTGCCCTCCCTGCCCTCCCGCCAGCCGCCGTCCTTACTTGCCGGGGGCCGCGGGAGGCGCAGCGCTGGTGTTGCCCTCCTGCTCGGCTGCACGGAGAGGTGAGGCGGCCGGGCCGGGCGGCGGCGGGGTGTGAGGGTCCTCGGGCCGCGGCTCTGCCCCGGCGGGGGATCGGTGGCTCCCTCGCGGGGTGTGCGGGGGGCGCCGCTGGCGCTGATGCCGGCGAGGGGCGGCCCGGGCGGGCTCCGTCCCGCGGGAAATTCCCTCTCGCCGCCGGTTTTGCCTGCGGAGGTGCTGGGCCAGCTTGCCGAGGCTTAGCTGGCGTGCGTACCTGACACTGATAGCATTTAATTATACTGCATTTCTTGTTTCTTCAGCCAGCCTTCCCTCTTCAGTCCTTTTCTGTATCGAGAAGCGTCTCGCGCCAGAAACATCTCTGAATGCTGGCAGCGGAGGTAGAAATAGCAATGTCAGAAAGGGCGCAACAATGCAGGTGTGCGATAATCGTCTCCCGGCTGCCCTTCCCGGGGAGCGTCGGACTCGGTGGACTTCTGCGGTCTCTCGCAGCCAGGGCTGTGACCTGGGACTGTTCACCCTTGTCCGCCGAGGTAGCCCTGCAGTAGCCTGCTCACCGCTTTCTCTCCCCCTGGGCAGAGCTGTGGAGATCTTACCCCTGCTTGTGGGGACTGACGGCTTTTCACAAGTTCGTGCCTCCAGAAGCCTTCCTGCTTTTGCTTGAAAAAGTGTTACTCTCACCTCCTCAGAAATGTTGGGTTGACTGTTGGGTACACAGTGAAGGTTCGTTTGTCTTCTGCACCCAGGAGACCCTTGCTTTGCTTTATTGGATCCTTTGTCAACTTGAAGATGGGAGGAGTTGATCAGGTTTTTAGTTAATCTTGCTCTTTAGTTGATTCTTTTTGAAGAGCCTTACATCTTAACAGCACTTTGCTCTTGAAGAACTATTTGTAATGTTGATAAGTTTTTTCTCCTGGGGGAGATCTAAATTTTTTACAGTGAAACCATATGTGTAGTATTGCTGTGGTGGGGAAATGGTAGCAATTGAGTGGGTTTCCTAATCTTTGTTTAAGATAAGTGGGTGTCCTATTAATTGTGATACTAAGATCCCAAGATAGTTCATGTTGTATGGAAAAAATACTGGCAACAAAATATTTTCCTAAAAAGAATTAAACAGTCTGACTAACTGTTGAGATAGTTCTGGTGTATAAGTTTGTTTTCATACACAATATTTTCAGGTGGTGGTACTGTTTTTTACAGGTACACATAGGCAGCATGTCCAGAAACTTTGTGTGGGTATTTTAGAAGATTTTGTCAAGTTATCTTTGGCTACCTAATCTCTGTCATTAGAATAGATACCTACCTTAAACCTCTAGCATCTGTTTTGCCGCACACCTGTTTGAGAACTCCCTTTAATCAGATAAAGGGCATTGAGGGTGTTTGGTTATTAATTTCTTTGTAAAGTAGTCATTTGAAAGAAGAGATACTTCTTGAGCTGAAAAATAATTAGTGGACAAGTGGTAACAGTCACCCCCTTTGAAAGGATAGTGCTTTTTTAGTGTTTTCATAGTTTTCTGATCTGTTACTTCTAGTTTAAAACATATTAGAAAAGGGAGACATAAGATCTGAATTGATTATCAAATGGTTATTTGTAAGCAGGATGAGAGTGCAGTTGCTGAAAGTGTTGTGGTGAAAATGCCCTTCCTTTCCTGTGAAAAGTGTGACTGATAATTTTGGTAAACAGTAAAATAGTAATTCTGTGGCATCCTCGTTTAAATTTTTTTTTTTTTGTCTTGGTGGTTGACACTTTAAAGTGAGCCAGTTATCCAAAGTATGGGAGTTTGATTAGTGGCTGTTACTGAATGTTTCAGGGTGTGGTTTTTTTTTTCCCCTGCAGTTTGTAAGTCCCTGTGAAAGGCTTGAGTTCAGTACACAAACTTTAAATCTCCATTGGAAAAACAGTGTTGCTGTAGAGGATGTAAGACGTCCATATGCTGTGTTTTGTGACAGTGTGTGCAACATTGGAAGCATAAACGTTGCTGCTAGCTGTTAACTGGTTCTCACCATGTGGCTGTGAATAGTGGTACTTGGGAGTAAGATCCCCTTGTGAGTGAGAACCAATAACTGTATTTCTCTTCCGAGGATAATAACTACTGTGTTTTAACCATTTATAAAACTAAAGTGAAAGGGTTTTGGCTGATTTTTTTCACCACTCTGTTTCCACCCACCCGCAAACCGTCATCTTTTTTTTTTTTTTTTTCTTTGGAAGACTGGGCAGCCAAATGTTTACTCTCCAATTTACTTTTTAAAGAATTTTTTATTTTTACAGTTTTATTTCACTTTTTTTTTCCTTAATAAAACCCAGTTTGTAGTACCTTGTAGTCTGATTTAGCTGTGTCTCGGTGTAACTAAGTTGTTAATGGAAGAGATTTTGATTAACTTGCTTGGTTAATCCAGTATATTTTTATCCAAACAGTCAAACATAGGAATTTTATGACAATATGTGAAAAAAGGCAATTTCTTCCAGAATGTCACTGGGAAATTGGAGAGGAACCTGTAAAAGATGGGAACTGCATCATTAGATAGCACCATGTGGAGGGCCCTTAATGAGAGGAGGTTTCCCCATCCTGGGTTGATCTGGTCAGGATGGGGTTGTATGTCCTCTGTTGCCGTCGGATTTATGGTGCTGAAAAAATCTCCAGAGCAGTTAATTAGGGGTGAGATAAGAAAGGGTTTATTTGCCAAGGCAGTAGATGTTACAAGACGCGCGCCCCCGTGCCCGAGAGGTTACATTTTATAACATCATCCATCCAATCCCAGATGTATCCACCCTGTGGCCTTTACTCTGGACCGCCCCAGGGTCCACCCCCTTAAAATGGGTCTGGGGTGCATTTCGGGACCACCTACTTCATCACCTTCACCATCATCAGAGCACAAAGGGTACATAGTTACCTAATTCTTGACCATATTCTGTGGTTTAGGCCCTGATATGCTGTTCTGTCAACCATCTAGGCCTTGCCTTGACAGAAGACTAAACATTTCTGGTGTATTCAGAAGTAGGATTGATTATGGGGAGCATAGAATGGGGTAAGAGGGTTAAGGAATGTATAAACAAGGGTACTGGAGAAAGGGAAAGGGACAAGGGACAAAGAAGGGAGGGTTTCTGCTTTTAAAACCTACTTATAAAACTTACAAGTCTTACCAATATTAGAAAAATAAAAAAAAAAACCATTAAGGGCTTAAGGCATCACCTCTGTGCTGTGTGTTAGCCCCATTAGCCTGCAGGTCATTGTTGTTTGGGGGGTTTTTTCTTCCCCCCCCCCTCTGGTTATGGCCCTGCCTTTCCAAAGGGCTTTTTCTAAGGCTTTTTCCTTCTTCAGAGTTCCAAGTACTCAGATCTCCAAGAAGGTGTGTCTTTACTTTTCAGTGGCCGCTTCAGCTGCGGTTGGTCTTTAGATGCTGCCCTGGCTTACGGTGGCTTTGTACCATGAAATGACTGGGTGGTGGAGGAGGAGGTTGGTAGGCAGGTCCGCTGGTAAGGGATAAGGGACCCCTTTTGCTTCCCTGCTCACAGTGTGCGTATTGAATTTTTCATCTTTTCCAGTTGTTGCTTGGCAGGTCTTACAGAAGTACACAGAGCTGGACCCTGTAGCAGAGACTTGGCTTTTCATCTTGGAGCCTGAAATGCACCATTTTGCTCTGTCTTTACTTCTAAAGCCTTAGTCTTGAGACTTGTTCAACGAGGTTGTTACTTATCTGTAGTGGAAGACTGCTCAATATCAGCTGTTGTACTTCAGCTGAGTCCGGTAAATGAAGGAATTGCTCAGACTGATAGTGTATTAGTGTGGGAAGTAAAAGTATGCTATGTGTTAATTTGCTTGAATATCTTAGAGTCTAAAATATATCCCTCTTGATGAAGGATAACTATGTTGGCAAAGCAGGATGAAATCTGCTGTTCAGAAGTCAGGAATCTTGTGCATGTACTCATTTTTATATCTGTTGTGGACATTGGTGAAAGATGGATTCCTTCATGTTCAGTAAAATTACTTTTTTACCCATAAAATCAGAAACTTATTTTAATTTCAACTGAAATAACTGTGCCACGCCAGACGTTTCCTGGAAAACAGCATGTGCTAACGCATTTTCATGTAAATGTACTTACTGAGCTGATTTGCTTATCTCTTCTCCAAAATACATGGGTGCAGGTATCCATGACAGAAAGTTAAACAGTTTTTATTTTAAGCTGATGATAGAAGGAATATCAGTATTGCAACTGAGGTGAAGTTTTGGGTCTGTTATTCAAATGGAAGATCCTTCTGTGTGTTTCATCTCTTTCCTCTTCCTTTTGCCTTTCCTTCTGTTCAGTATAAAAATGTATTCCTAATTAGCATAAATTATTTAAAGACAAACAACACTGGATTTTCTAGAAAGAGCAAAGTCAAAAATGCTTTAGTGAAATCAGCACTTTCTTGCCTGTTTGTTTTTAATAGCTGAAAACAGCAGAAAAGGTGCTGATGCTGCCAGAATTGTGTACTCTCTAGGTGTATTGACATTTCTTTAATGTAGTTTTGTACCTGTGCCTTAAGCTGCATGGTGAACAAATTATTCTTCCTTTGAACAGTATAGTTGCTTTACCTCTGAAAATTTTCAGGTAAACAACTAGTCCCATATATTTATCCAGTAGATAAATTCCAGTGCATGTTGTTACTGCTGATAATGTAGACTACTTTCTCTATTTCTGTCAGCAGTAAGGAATATTCCAATTATGTTATTCAAGGAATATTTGGAATGGTGCATTATGTCTTGCAGTGCTGTGTTTAGTAATTTTTCTGTGTTCTCAAATATACCAACTAATACTCTTACAGCAAAGAACAGGATACAAATGATTTCATGACAGGTTCTGATATACCTTTTTTGAAATATAGTATTTTATTCTGGTTATGCAGAGGCAAATCAGTTCTCTTGTTCTTAGCTAATGTGATGGTGCTGATCATCCTCTTTGTCCACCTCTCTTTCTGCTCTGGAGATCTATGGTTCTTGGTTTTCAGAGATCCTGTGTAAGGCAAGATGGCTTTGTACTTCTCAGGCACTCATCTTAGGAAGGCACAGCAGGAGAATAGTCCATGCAAGATGTATGTGTTTCTGCAGTTCTTGACTTTCTGTTGAAAACTTGTGCATATCTCTGCGTGTTTGTTTTACTCTGCTGCATCTGTATTTTTTTCTTTACAAAAAAAACCCCACATGGTTCTTTCGCATGCCTTTGCTTTTTAGCGTTGACCTTACCTCATCTCTGTGTGGACCTGTGGGTGTCCACTGGAGCTGTGCTGCATGTGTCTGTTACCTCCTTGGCTGAGGTTTCCTTAGGCAAGAAACTCAAGTCTGGGGTGTCAGACCTTTGCAGCTATGCATACTTTTTTTGGATTGTTTTGTGGGGTGTTTGTGTGATTGCTTGTGTGTATACAAAGACAACATTCTCAGGAACCTGCATTTTACTGTTATAACTCTCTGTATTCTTCATCCCCAAATACAAATTCACAGACTTTTCAAATGAACACGTAGTTTTGAAACTCTTTTGAGTCTGGCAGTATTGTGCACTTTGTACCGAGAAAAGAGGAGAAAATAGATTATATCTTGAATGCAAGAGGCAATTTTGCAGGATATGCATATGCATGCTTAGGTATATGTGAGCTGTTGAAGGACTTAAATGCTGGAAATACAGTAAAATCAGCATTTCTGGTACCTGCTAACTGCTGGCATCACATTCTTCCCCTGTGTTCACAGTGCATGTCCACATGTAAATCTTTTGAGAGTTGCTACCATTTAATAACTTTTAACTGAAACCTGTGCATTGCGTCTGTAGGGAAAAAGTTGGTTTGCTTTAGAGCATTGCCTTGAGAGACTGTGCAATATGTTAGTAATAGATGTACCCATTTTATATTTAACTACTGTCTCGTGATGCATCTGTATTTGCTGTCTGTCTGATCTTCTGTGCTCATTTTTGCTGGCTTTTGTCTGCAGGAATGCAGAAAGAAAAAAAGTTAATCTCAGTTTACAAGGGAGCAATCTACTAGAAGCTGTGACTGAGTTTCCCGGTGGAGTTTTAGGATTCATTGATCTAGGTGCCATTATGCTTACTAGGACCAGGTTTTACCACATAATAAAATGCGTATGGCCTATTAGTACAGAGAATTGCAATTGCCCTTTTCCCCTGCTTATCTTTGAAGATGTGCTGTTTCGTAGGAATAACATGTCTCAATAGCAACCAGTAGTACCCCTGGTACTGCTCATTCATTAAAGCAGGTTATTTATTTTCAGAAAGGTTATTTATTTTGTGGTAGAAACAAAGCAAGCAGCTGAGGATCAAAACAGAGAACACTTAATACAATTTAGCATTGAAATCAATGCCGTGTCTGCTAATATTTTTATTTATTTTTATTTTTAGATAATCCTTAAAATAATTTAGTTCAATCTGACTTATTTATTTACAAGCTTGGAGCAAAGAAGTTAAAATGGTGTTATCAGATGAAGTAACTTGACACTGCCTAATTCTAGGAAGCAAAGTGCAAATTACTTCTCAAACAGAAAAACTAAGTTGATTTTCTCTCTAAATTAGGTAATAAGGAATCTGTCCTCTTTCTGTAGACCAGTGTTGTCTAATTAACTTTTTGGGTGGAATATATGATAAAAGAAAGGCTGGTTTGTTCTGTTTATTGCAGATTTTCATTATATTGTTAGGTGTATTCAAGACATTCCCCTCAAGACTTGTGAAGCTTTATGTACAAGCTAATAGCGTGTGATGGCCTTTCTTTGTCTTTCAGATGGAAATACTTAGATAGTATGCCTTCCTTGCTGGGTGTATACCCATCAGCTGAGAGCTATTGCATTATTGCTAAGAAAATTTTTTTGTGTATATGAAATGGCTGTAGTGGAGGATGTAATATAATGTGTCATTTTTAATTTGCAGATTTCCACGCTGTTGTGGTTCTTTGGATTTGTTTTTTTTTTTTCTTGGAAATGGTAGGTCTAGGAAGCAGCTGCCGAGGGATGAAGTCTTCGCCTCTCCTCATGGCTGCACTTGTGGCATGCATCATTGTTTTGGGTTTCAATTACTGGATTGCAAGTTCTCGCAGCATGGATCTGCAGGTAATTTTCCTTTTGCTCTGCATGTTGTTTTGTACTTTCATAGTTAATGAGCATAGTTCACAAGAAGGATGCTTCCCTTGCATATGGCAAGCCAGGAGCTTCAGGTTGTTTTAGGAACTTTCACAAATATTGTATTTGTTGCTTATTAGTAGTGGGAGATGGGGGTAATGGGATGAATGCCTATTTGTAGGTGAGAAGGACGCAAAATTTGAAGACCTGCATGTGTATTACTTCTGCTCACACAAAGCATTCGGCTATCTTATGCTGTTTCAGTTTAAAGATATGGCAAATGCCATCCTCTGTTTTTTTTTTTTCTTAACTGTACATTGAGACTGGCAGTCTGTTTTTAATGGGAATGGGTTTTTGCAATTTGCTCAGCTGTCCTGGTTTCACTGCAGTTGGTAATGAAGCCCCATGCAGCTCATCACTCCCCCAGCACCAGGATCAGGAGGAGAATCAGAAGGGTATAAGCTGGAGAACTTGTGGCCTGAGATAAAGACAGTTTAATAGGGAAAGCAAAAGCCACACATGCAAACAGACCAAAACAAAGAATTAATCCACTGCTTCCCCACGTCAGGCAGGGTTTCAGCCATCTCCAGGAGAGCAGGGCCTCATCACGTGTAACAGTTACCTGGGAAGACAAATACCATCACTCCAAATGTTCACCCCCACCTTCCTTCTTCTTCTTCCCCACACTCTATATACCGTGCATGATGTCAGTGGTCTGGAATATCCCTTTGGTCAGTTTGGGTCACCTGTCCCAGCTGTATGTTCTCCTAGCCTCCCACGTACCCCCAGCTTCCTCGCCAGTGAGGCAGTATGAAAAGCAGAAAAGGCCTTGGCTCTGTGTAAGCCCTGCTCAGCAATAACAGAAACATCAACCCTGTGTTCAGCACAAATACAAAACATAGCCCCATACTACCCACTGTGAAGAAAGTTAACTCTATCCCAACCAAAACTAGCACACCTGTCTCCCTAGATTTGTTCTCTGACATGACCTGTAAGATTGTATGTGTACTTTCCCACGAAATACAAGAAAATCTAGGTTGTTCAGTGTCTAAAAATCTGTATTTGTGTTTCTTAGTAGCCCTTCTAAAGGATGACACAAAACTCACATGGAATAATTACCTGCTATTTTTCTAATGGTAACTATAGTTTTTGTGGTTGTTGAGCTTGTGTTTTAATCTTTTCTAGAGCATTTATTCTGAAGTAGGCTGTGTGAATCAAGTTTCTGTTTTGTGGCAATTTGTGCAGGATGGATTTTTTTTTCCTTTGTTTTTAGCAATCAAACCTAAAAGGGAACAACCTGGTATCATAGGTTTACTTGTTCTAGAAAAAACAAGTGGAATTTTTTTTTTTTTCCACTTCATCCTTATGAAGTGGGATGTTGAACGAGGGAGTGGGAGGTTGGTTCTTTTGGCTGGGGTGATTGACACACACAAAAGAACTAACTAGCAGGCCTGCATTCCAAGCTCATGGCCCTCCTAAGACTGTGGGGCAGGGTGATGAGTTTTTTTTTCTTCTCGGAAACGGGAGGCACTTCACTTTTCCTTAACTCAGGCAAGGTGTGTGTTGGAGTGGTCCAAGGTTCGCTTTGTTTTCCGGCCTGGTCATCTGGCTGTTTTCTGGCCTCGGCTTGCCTCCGTTTTTCCTGCGCCCTGTTCTGCCCACAGCCCAGATCTGCTCGGATTTCATTGGAGAGGCTTGACCCATCTGCAGTGGAACTTTCTGGGGAGGATATCGCCATTCCTTCCTCTGGTCCCGTGTTTGGCAGCAGCTTTTGCCCATTAATGAGGGGCAGGAAATCCTGGCCACAGCCTGCGTGAGTTCTGTGGGAAGAACCCCCTTTTTCCCCTTTCCTCTTCCCCTTCTCTGTGTGGGGGGAGATCTCTGTGTGGGGCTTCTCCCACACATCGGGCCCCACATGGCAACCGCAAGAGCCCAACAGCGCCCCCTGCCGACCAACACGGAGCACTGCGGGCTCTGCTCCTCCAGGGATCCAACAGCGCCCCCCCCTGACCGTGGTTAGAATTGTGCCAAAAGGCGGAAAGTACTGAACTGTTTCCTTTTTGAAGGGGGTTTTTGGGTACAGGGTTATTGTTTGGTTGTTTTTGTGTTCTTTTGTTGTTCTGCCAATACACATATATCCTTTAATAAAGGGCTGTTATTTTTCCTTTCTCCATACTTCCTCAATTGGAGCCTCTTAATTTTGAATTTACAATTGCTTAGAGGGAGGAGTTGGGTCTTACTCATAACTCATCCTCCTTAGCAAAACGCTTCAGTCTCATTAAACTGAGACTGAAGTAATGACTGATGAGAGCTCCTCCCAGATTTTACCAGTGAATTTGTATCCTGTTTGTAACTGAGCTGAATTTTAGTACTGAGGTGACAGCTGAAGGAGTTAAACTCTTGTTTCACCTCAGAGTGGGCACTGTTAAACAACCACTTGTCTCTGGCTATGCAGTTAAGGGTGTGTCTTGGCCCTTCCTTGTTGTGACTTCTGAGACTCTGGTCATCCCTTGCTTTCCCTTTAGTCATTGGCCTCAGGATGGTGGCTACCAGCAGGTAGTGACTGTGTCAGTACCACTGAAGCTTTGCTGCACAGCTGTGAGGCAGCTGAGACTGATAAAAATAGGCCACCATCCTTGTTTAATCTTGGTCTCAATAACCTAGAGACATAAGGTCTTTTTTGATGTTACTGATGTACTGTACTATCCTGTACATTTCTCCAAAGTTAGCCTGAAAATCATTTTGGCATGGTCACGCACTCCAAATGGAATAAAAGCATAGCTGAGGGCATGGATGGAGCTTCTAAAGCACTCTGTCGATCCATTTGCTTGTTGGCAAGACTTTGCAGCTATTATGACTAAAATAGAATAAGTGCTTTTCTTTGCTCTTCCAACTAAACTGCAAGTCTTTTTTCTTATTTTTTTTCTCTACCTCCTCTCCCTTCTCTTGCTTTCTGTGGCAGAGAAGCAGAGTAGGTGGACCACAATATGGAGCATTACTGTGGTGTAAGAAGATTTTTTTTGAAGTCTTGGAACATGCACAGTTTCTATACTATCTAATTTTTAGTCCACCTGGAATCATCAGGCCTTTTTGTCTGGGTAGATTCTGTTGATGTCCTCACCCTCCTGCACATCTTTGTACTCCTCATTGTTGCAGAAAAACAATTTTAACCCAAAATGTTTAGAAACTGTCCTGCAAAACTAAATTGGTGCTTAAAAAAATAGAAGAGGAAGAAAAAAAAAGGAGCTCTGTTAACACCAGGCTTGATTCCTCATCTTATGTCTCTGTGTTCGTATGTGAACTGTGTTCGTAGTATTGAATTTTCTTCTGATTGTCTCTGTTCTTTGAGCAGTCATGAAGAATTGATGATTTTCTGTTTCTAAACTGAGTTTTTCTCATATGTGTATTTTGTGTAATAGCCATATGTCAGTTGTTCATGTGAAAATTGGGCACTGTTGTCATCTCTCTGCTCTTTCATAGGTCTTCCAGGAAAACAGATTGATTTGAGAGATGAGTTTTCACTTTGAGTTGGTTTAGTATCAACACTGGGAAGTGTGGAGATGTCAGAATTGTGTGGATTGAATTAAAATAATTGTTTGGCCTTGTATATCAGAAGGATTGTGAACTGTAATCTTTTTTTTTTTTCTTAAGCTCAAGTACTGAGGCAGCTTTCCATTTTTATCTTTAACTGAAATTTTGATAGTCTCTACAAAATATACTATACTGTTAATTTATGTGAAACTGGGGAGATGTGTGTCCGTGTGTATGGAAGGTATCCCTGGCTAACATAGTACTTCAATTACATGAATGTTGTTAGAGCTGTGAATTTTGCTATTCCTTGAATATATTGGAGGAGAGTCTGGCAAGGGGGAAGCATTTCTGTTGGCTTTGGCTAATCTGCTTTTCCTCAGGGTCGAGTCATGGATCTGGAAGGTAAAGTCCGGAAGGCAGCAGCAGAGAGGGGTGCTGTGGAGCTCAAAAAGAATGAATTCCAAGGGGAGTTAGAGAAGCAGCGACAGCAGATTTACAAAATCCAGTCCTTGCACAGCTTTCAGATGGAAAATGCCGAGAGAGCACGTCAGGAAGAGAAGGTAGGGTTTCTTCTAGCCAGTTTTCTGTGAGACTGTGAATTACCAAGACAATCTCTGCAACAGAAAATGTTTCTCACGTGTTCCAACTGATGGGCATACGGTCAGTGTTGGTATGCCAAAACATTTATCTGTCATTTTATGATATTTAGAAAATGGACATTGAATGCATGTTACAGCATTTGCTGTGTAATATATGAAATACTAGAAGCTGCAAGTAATGGCACTTTGACTAAAACCCCTACCCCCTTTGTAAATCGTGGTTACCAATCTTGGATTGGCTTCTGGCTTTCTTTCCTGTGTACTAATTAAAGAAAAGAGGCAAACGCATCAATATATATATTTGTATTCCCAAACGTGTTTGTAAGCATAAATGGTTGACGTTCATTTCTAAACGCGTTACAAATTTTGTGGGACCTTGGCCTTTTGCCTCCAAAACTCAGTAGTGCTGGGAAGACATGAAAAGTTTAGACTTTCATGGCAGAGCTCCTGACTGTACAGTGTTGCCAGAGATGGATGTCCTTTGTGAAGAATGTGAACTTAGCTAGTTAAATAGCAGTGTGTACAATTGCTGCTGTGTAGTGTCTTGCAAACCATTTTGTTGTGTATTTTCCTTCTGTTGCTGATACCATTTTTAATGTGGTAATGTGGTTGTTAGTCATTGATATCACTTTTCTCCCTGTTAGTAGAAATATTTAGTTGAAAGTGTTCAGTTGCTTCTCCTGTAGAGTCTTTTGACTGAAGTTTATAGATCAGCTTTCCAGGACTATTACTTCCAGCAGGCTGAACAGACACAACACATGATAGTAGTAGGTGTTCTTCAGGTAGTGGGTTCACCATGAGGGGATGGTTTGCTATTCAAAACTTGTGGTGACTGAGCAAAATATCACCAGAATAATCTTTGAAGGATTTAGAGGAACAGAAGTTGAGTAAAAATAGAAGGTGGAGTATGCACATCAGTGGTATATGTCTTTATTTTGAAATAATCTTTACCCAAAGTCTTAAAAGAAATACTAAACCAATTCTTTTTACTTCTTTTGAGACAAATATGTTTCTTTGATAATGTCTCTCTTCTCTTTGGGTTCAGTCTTTGCATATACTTAAAAAAAGATGAGGTATAGTTTGTCTATTTATTTTTTAATGTATGTGTATATTAAAACAATATCCCAGGATAGTCAGACAGCATTTGAGTGGGTAATCAATCTTCTTGTCGCTTCTACCTTGTAGTATTGGGTGTTGCTGCTGAGTGTTGTGGTGTTGTTTTGCGTTCTACTTTTGTCTTGTAAGGAGTGAGAACACATGCATGAGTGGGGAAAAAAACCCCAAAACCAAAAGATTCGAAGGTAAGAAAAGGGCAAATGTAAGAGAGTATTATGCTTCCTTTTCATAAGCAGATATAGCCAAAGTTATTAAAAGGCACTGGAAGTGTAAGTGCTGGCCACAGAGTTTACAGCACAGACTAGCCAGATGGGTGGATGTTGAGAGATTGACAGGAGCTCATCTGGCATCTATGCCAGGAAAAGTGGTGAAAAGTATTTTACAAAACCAGAACTGCTGTTGGATGTGGGGGAGAATGTGGTAGCCTGGGGAAGATTCAAAGCAGCTTCTGGCAAAGAAAGTCTTCTGAAGTCTCTTGGAGTTTTTTCTGAGTGAATCAGTGACAAGGATGAGGGAGACAAATGAAAACATTCACACCTGAAATTGCAAAAGTCAATATGTGCATAGTTTGTAGAGATACTAAGCAGCCATGCAGTAACACAGCACTATCTCAGGGGTGAATGATAAGGCAAAAGTTACAAAGCAGCTTAGAAATACACTGGGTTAGTTTTTGTACTGTGGGAAGGTTACCAGTGGAATTCTGGAGTGCTGGGAAAGGCACACAGAGGAGAACAAGGAGGATAACCAAAGCTGTGCTGTAGTTTTTCTGCAGGAATCCACAGTGTAGGTTACAGGCTGGACAGGAATCGGTGGAGTTGTCACAGTCATCTCCAGGATACTAAATGGAGCAGAAAATGTTTGTGGTTAGGAGAGACACTGATGGCCTTCAAAGGCCGTCATCAAGTTGTAGTTCAGACTGGGCAGAAGGTAGTGCTCTTCATGCAGTAGATGTTGAAGCTGCAGTTGTGTGACACCATAATATGCAGTTGCAGTGGGTCTGTGTAGGTTAAAAAACAATTGGATAACCTGGGACAAGCACCTGCCCCACCACCCAATACCAAGGTGTTAATTCTGTTTTGAAACATTCCTCAGCTGCTGCTTGGAAAATACTGTGCTTTGTGGCTGCCATGGAATTAATTTGGCATTCCAGTGTTAGAGATGGGATGCTGGGAAAGGTGGATTTTGGGGCCAATCTTAGTAGCCCATCCTTCTTCAGTGCTTTTCCCTCCATCACTATAAAATACAGTTGTTCAGTAACGGAACAGTCTTTGAAGCTTTCTTTGAAACCCCAGGAGCTGATGCTTTAGGAAGCATAACATGAAAGTGATGCAATGGACTAATTTCCTGTTTTCTGTGTTTTGTGCCTGGAGAAGTGCATGTCTGAGGAGCCTGAAGTGGTAGGACGAGTGTGTATGTGCCTGTGCACCATCATGTGTCAAATTCAAAATTTGCTTTTGTTTCAGCACATGAGCAAATATCCTGCACAGGTGCTGTTTGTTTTCCAACTCTTAATTTAACAGTAGAGAGGGTTGTGTTACTGGGAACCTGTGTATGTGTCAAAGTTGCCATCAGCCAAGTTCTCATGGATTTATCCATTGTAATTTAGGAATTCCTCTGATATGGTGGCAGGGAAGAGAGGGAAAGTTTAGTTCTCCTCACTAATGGCCTTTATCTGAAGAAGCTGTCTAGGTTCAGAGGTTATTCTGCAGAGGGATGTGGAATATAAGGAAAGATGGTTTCTGAGTGCTTTTTTGTTTGTGCGTATCTGTATCTATGTATAAGTGTGCCTGAAATATCTGGTTTTCGGCTCCATGGATTTCAGTGGAATCTGGGATTCCTGGGAGGCGAGTAATGAATTCAATCTTTCTGGTTATGGGAAGCTTGCTCCTTGAACTGAGCTTTATTTACTCGGTAAAGATTAGCAGCAAGTATTTACCTATTCAGGAAGAATGAATGCAAATCCAAATCCTGAGTCTCTCAACTTGTTTTACAAGTGATACAAACTGTATAACTAACTGGAGAGGTCTTTGAGTCATAACTGAGATTTGCTTAGTTCTTGTTGTTATTCATAAAGAAAAATGAAAATGCTTTCAGCAGATGTGTAGGAATGAATGGTCTCTCTCAAACCCTCCAAGTTTTCAGGGAGAAATGGTGGTTTTTCTGGTTATAGACGAAATTTGTATGCAAGGAGACTCTCACAATCTGGTCGTCTTAGGAAAAGCAACTTCAATGTAATATTTGAGACCCATCTTAATTGCAGTTCATCTCTGCTCACTGTGTCTTATTACTCTGCTGATAAAATACAGAATAATTATGCCACTAATTTAGTTTCATACCAAACTGATACACCAATCAGGTACTTACCCTGTTAAAGTCATTGTCGGTGGCAGTGCAGTAATCACTTTGAGTTAAATCTGCCTTCTTTTGAAGTAGAACTGTCTCTGGCTACTTAAAGGATGAGGGCATAAAAAGTAGGAGGTAATCTGAGCTGGAAATACCCTGTGGGCTCACCTTTCACTGAAGCAATGTAATTCTGGAAAACTGCGGTTGTAATTATTCTCTTAGGTCTGAGTATGTATAAAACACTACTGTCATCAGTTTGTTTTTAAAAAACCTACTTGAAATTTTAAGGAATAGTGTAGATTTAGGAAATGGCTTTGGGAAAGCTCTACAGAAATAGAATGAAGAGATCAAGAAATCTTACCTGAACACTTGATAACAACAGAGTGCAAAAGGGTTGTTTACAATCTGTAAGCAATTTTCTAAAGAAGAATATTCTCTGTGGTTGTTATTTGGGACTTGTAGCTAATGGGATGTACACAGCCACAGCTCTCTTTGAAGAGCGTATCAGGACAACAATATATGTAATATCTCTTACCTTTAACTGAAAGAACATGCTTTTACAGTTGATAATTTTCTTTGAATTTACAAAATTCTTCCCCAGCCCGTATCTTGTTTTACTGAGGAGAGGGGCCAAGGTATGTATGTTCTTTGTGAAGCACGTCACTGTCTTGTTGCTCAGTGTTTTTTAACACAGGCCATAGCTTCTCTCTGGTCCCCTCCCTCTGGGAAAATTTCAATTCCCAGCACAGTCTTCTGAGACAAAATACCTATTGGTATGCAAGGAGTCAACTCCACTGAAAAGGAATTACAGTAAATCAGCAGGGAGTGAGAAGAAAGCCTTGTGTGAAAAGGAAAAGGTACCTATGTGTATTTGTTTTTTGTGGTTTTTTTTTTTTTTCAAACCAAACAATCTTGCATATTCTAGTTTTGGAAAGGCTTTGAGGAACATTCCATACTTGCCATAACATGATCTTACTAAATTAGCAAAAGAAATCAGTCTGATTACTCATAACTGTTCAAAATGTATCTTCCACATGGTGGGGAGAAGCAAAATCATCATCCGAGACTTGCTGCACTGTAGGCACCCTGAGAGTAGGAATTTAGAGTATGTGTAGTTTAAGAGTTAACTAGTGGAATGTTTCTACCTCTTCATAACAAAATGAATGGACAAAAAGAAACGCAGAAGGTACCTTAGATGTATCTGTACAAGTTTTATATTAAGATTCTCATATCATAGGTTTTCGTTTTTCTTACACTGCCTATAATTTGGCAGTGTAAGTATATTTAGTTAAATATAACAATATCTTGAAATTCCTGTAGCTCTACAGGGCTTATTTTCTCCAATCCATTTGCTAGTGCACTGCACCCCTAAAAGTAATTTCTTTTTATATAAGTTAACTTCCCCTCTCTTCTGCTGAGAGCGTAAGAAATTATTAATCTTGTAATTTTGGTGGTTTCTGCAGTTTTGAGGGCTGAACTACACCGTGTCATGGTGCACATGTCTTTCGTGACAAAAAAGGAGAGTCTAAATTGCTTGGAGCTTAGGATGTGAAACAAGTTTGAGTCTCTGACCTTTGCCGTGATTACTCTTTAAGAAGAGAGCTGGTTTTTTGGGTTTGGGTTTTGTTGGCTGGGTGGGTTGTTCGTTTCTTTGGTTGGTTGGTTTTTTTGCTTGTTTGGAATTTTTTTTGTTGGTTTGGTGGGATTTTTTTATGTTTATTGAGGATGAGAAAAAGTCTGCAATTTTTGAATGGAATTCAATTCAGTGAAATACAGATTTACATGAACAATGTCTCCTCCATTTTGGGCTTGAAATTTGTTTTAAGTCTTGCTTCAATTGATGTGCCTCCACTAAAAGTATACATGAGTGTGCAGCACACAGGCCAGCCTAAAGGAGAAATATTTCTTAGGAATCTTATTTATGAACTTTTTTTCCCACATACTAATATGTAGTTAGCCATTAATATCGTGGCCTAGAATGAAAAAGCCTTGTTGTGGCTCGTTGTCATGGTTTAACCCCAGCTGGCAACTAAATACTGTGCAGTCACTTACTCAGTCCCCACACCTCTCCCTAGATTTTTGAAGAAAACACATGGCTTGAGATAAGAACAGTTTAGTAACTGAATCAAAATGAAATAATGATAGTAATGAAAAGGAGAGAGAGAGGAATAAAACCCAAGAGAAACAAGAGATGCACAATACAATTGCTCAGCACCAGCTGACAAATGCCCATCCCATCCCCCAGCAGTGATCAGTGCCTCCCGACCAACCCCCTCAGTTTATAAACTGGATATGACATTCTATGGTGTGGAGTATCTCTTTGGCCAGCTGTCCTGGCTGTGCTCCCTCCTGGCTTCTTATGCACCTGCTCACTGGCAGAGCATGGGAAACTGGCAAGTCGTTGACTCAGGGTAAGCACTACTTGGCAACAACTAAAACATCTGTGTGTTACCAACATTATTTTCATGCTAATACCAGCATGGTGTTGGGGAGCAGTGGGAACATGTGAGATGGGTCTACTCTTTTTCTTTGCAGTAAGGACTTTAATCACTTTGAGTTAATTATACCCTGCTTCTCCCTGATTAATTATAGATGTCTGTTTCTGCATGTATAAATCTTAGCCTCCCATCTTACTTTATTCCCAGTTGGTTTTGTTCTTAGCAGGTGAGTTACTGATCCTGTGGCTCATCTTTGTCTCCTTTGTGCTATATTTGTAAATTCAAAGCCCTTTTTTAATTAGGTGTTAGTTTTAAAATCAGTGTTTACGCTCATCAGGTTCTTTGCTGTTTTAATTCTTTTTCTTGTTGCAATATCTCATGCTTCTATATACAGCACCTACAATCAGTGTTAGAAAACACGTCAGTTCAGTGTACTTGGATTAGCTTGATTTATGATTGTAGCAAATGCTGAAGGAGTAATTGTAGTAATTCCTCCAAGGCATATATCTATGGAGAATACTGTGTAAGGTGGTAGTTGGATCAAATGCATGTACATAGTCCAGAGCATGTGCTCAAAACATAGGTTTTGAAATAATCTCCCTCACGTGTGTTTCTGCATTATGTTTTTGGGTTTTTTTAAACAGTAACTTTATCTTTGTGTTTCTTAAGTGGAATGTGACTAGTGTAGACATGTTCTATGGTGAATAATAATGACAAAATCTCTGTCAGTTGTCATTAAAAAATTTGCCATACAGCTGGAGCAAGATTTTTCCCTCACTGCTGGTGGAAGTGTGACTTTTGATTTTTTGGTTTCTGAAGACTTGCTGTCCACAGCATTGTCTTCAGTCAGGAGACTGATTTTTATCTCTGTGGCAGTCACAGGGACTTTTGTGCAAGACATATTTGCAAATATAAGAAGCTGGTTCTATGTTTCAGAGTCACTCTGTCACAGAACATGAGATTTTGATGTGGTGATACAGTTATTTTCCAAAAGCTGGATTTCCTGGGGATGATAGCTATTGTTTTGTGGGCTAAATGAAGTTTAAAATGTGAGTTGCTTTCTAGAACTGAGTATTGCCATATGTCTGGTCAGTGCTTGCCAGCAGTTTTCTTTCTTGACCTGCATAAAAACCCAAAAGAAAACAATGTTTGCTTAATTCACAACCTTGATGTGAAGATTACTTAACACTGGAACCACAGTCAGATTGGAAGCTGGCAGTTGCAATATGGTCCTATAAATTATTAAACAGTATTTCCTGCTCAAGTTAAACAGCTAACCAGATTTTTATTACTTTTTTCTTGGACTCTTGCCCACACATTCAGAGATAGGTGTGGCATTGCCAAAAGAAAGTTTTATACGCAATCCAGAAAGACTAAGGCGCACTTTTTTCCCCTGTTGTGATTCAAAGAGCAAATACATGGCAAATAATCCTACTCACTTCAGCTAATCACAGTTATTATTGTCCAGATGTGCAAAATATTTGACACTTGTCTGTTTTGCTGTCACATAAGCGCTCCTGGTATTTGGGAGTTTCATTTTAAGAAAAAAACTCCACAACCAACAAAGCTCCACTCCAATAAAACCCCAACCAACCAACCAAAAAAAAACCCAAAACCCAACAAACCAAAAAAACCAAAGCACAACAAACCATAGGAACATAAAATTGCTACATCCTACTGATTTTTCTGGTCCATTGACATTTTCTAGTAGTGGCCAATGCTGTATACCCTGAAGATGATAATCGTGGAACAACCTGGCTACATGGTTCATGCATTAACAAAACTTGGAATTCCATTGAAATATTAGCTTCCTTTCTCCAATAAACCATTGAAAGCAAATTCATTTTTTGTTTACCTGTAGGAAAGGAGACGGAGATATATTAAACATGTATGGTGTTATTAGTGTTACTTGGTTTTCATTTTCCTTTTTAACGAATGAGCAAGACCTTTACTCTTGAGTTTTCACAGTGGTTTTCACACACCAGCTGTACATACAGAATGGTGTAGAAATACTTTGGCAACAGGTAAATGACTGCCTCTTTGGAGTGGGACTCTTTAAAGGGTCAACCAGAGACAAATCCACTTTTCTGCTGGATGCTAGCCTGCCCACTCAGATTGAACGCTGCATTTCAGCTAATCAACTCTTATTACTGTAGTCTGTGTGAAAAAAGGCACTGATGATGTTGTCAGTGTTTCAGGGTGACTTGGGCAGACAGAATGGATGCTGCTGTTTCTTCGCAATTGCGTGGTGTGGACATACATACACATCAGTACTAGAGCAGAAACTTTGGGAAACTGGGGACTTGGCATATCCTGATCTGGGACCCTTGAACACTGAGGTTTCCCAGGATAAGAATAATGAGGAAATAGGCACTGAATCCTAAGAAATATTCTCCTAAGACTGTACTGGATTGTTTCTGAAGAATAGGTGGGTTTCTTTCTTTTTGTAATCTTAAGAACTCTTCTACACCACACTTGCTAAATGCTAAATATGAATTTGAGTTATCCTGGTATCTTGCTCACAGCAGTTAATTTCATTTAGTCTTGATTTGGTGCTGTCAGTTTTCAGGTGTTGTGGGGCATGCGTCTATATGAAATGGTAGATGAAGGTTGATGAAAGAATGGACAAAACATATTCCTATGTTGACTACCTCTTCAGAATGAGAGAGAGAGAGCAAAATGAGGGAATGGAAGAAGACCACTCCAGCACAAAAGCAGTGGAGATGATAGTTAGAAAAGGGATACAATACAAGGGCTTCACATTGCTTTTGTGAAGTTCCTTTATGCTCAATCATTAATGCTTTCATAGCTCATCTTTGCATGCCTGAATGCAGGTGTATTGATTCCTGAGTGAGAGGGTAATTGATAGTGAGCTGTACTGTGCTGTATTCTTCTTCAAGAGATAAATACAGTAAATTTGACTGTGACTGCAGTCGATTAAAGTACAATAAAGCAGCAAGCAATTTTAGTATCTTTAATTTTTAGATGCTTCCTCTTTGCATCTATGCAGTGGTACATTCCTCATGCCCCCTTTAGTGGGGAATCTGGGTTAAAATGAGTGTTTGCTGTTTGCAATAGTAGATCTGTAAAACAGCTGAAAGTTTTTGTTTGACTGTAACACAGCACTTCACAGAAAACAGATCGTTACAAGTGCTTTGGTAGGTGTTGTTTATAATATTAATGGTAATACAAGTCCTTTGCAGTTAAAACACTGTTTTTTGTTTTGCTTCTTTCAGGCAATACTGCTGAGAAACATCACAGTAAATGATCGACTGATTCAGAATCTACGAGGTATGTTGTAATATCCCTGTGCATCTCTCTCATACTGTTTTTTAGGCCCTCTGTTTTTAAGCCTTGCATCTTTCTGGGGTCATCTGAGAATGCTGCCTTTCTTCAAGTCATGACTTAGATACTTCTGCATAGTTCCAGTTAAGTGAGAACCATAGTTCCAGTGTGAGAATAATCTACCTCAACGGTAGAAGGATTTGTCCATGTAGTACTTCTGACTCTTACTGTATAAAATAATACAGAATAAAACTAGATTAATGTATTTATTCTCTATTCTACCTTTTGCAGCATATTCTTGCATTTTTCCCTAGACTGTTGGGTTGTGCATTTTAGCTCTGGAGGAATTCACAAACGCCTATATTAAATAAGAAAACTCAGTCTAATTCATTTCTATTCATGTTGGTACTTCAGAGTTGTTACTAGCAATGTATTCCTCAGGAGGTCTGGGAAATGAATTCTAAATCCTGTAAACAAGTAAATATGTTGTGTGCTGCCTGCTGGTGCCCTCATGCAGAGCTTTCTGTCAGGAAGAAAACTGTAAATTATAGGTGCCTCTGTTTCTGTTTCTTATACAGGAACATAGCTGTAAATTGCGTATTATTCAGGGAGGCGTTGTAAGCTTGTCTGTAGATGCCGATAAACATGAATACTGTTTCTTGCTGTGTTCTGATTATGATTTTGTAGACCTAAAGATTTTCTGGGCTGAAACTTAGCAGGGTTTGCAAATCAGAATATTCCTGATGAAGAAAAGTAGGTAAAAAGATATGTTACACTGTTTTTGCTAATATATTTTGCTGAAAGGCTATTTTTGCCCAACCTTGAGAATCCTTGTTGAATAAATTCAACAATCAACTATGCGTTTGTATGCAAAATGTAGTTAGCATGACAGATGAATTAATTTAGTGTGCTTACTATTGATTTGTTGAGATTTCTATTGTTGTATGTGTAGGTACATGTTTGTTTGGGTGTATTTTACTATGTATTTTAATCCTGTTTTGATCAGAACACTTGAAAGAGTTACAGACAGAATATGGAAAGCTGCAGTTGGATGTTTATTGGTTTCAAAAGAACCAGACTAACCTTCAGAGGAAGTTCTCATATGACCTGTAAGTATGTGCTTTATAAAAGATGACTTCCCAAGTTGTAGGTGACTTGGTTATAACCTAGAGTATTCTTGTGTTAGCTATAGTACTGTTGGTAAATGTACGTTTTTAAGGAGAAAGTAACATCTGACACATCTTCTGAAATTGCTCACAGTTGTGAGAAGAGTATAAACCGTGCAATGCTTGGCATCTCAGTATCCACAGGCTTCTCCCACACTTTTTGATGTTCCTTCTGTTGCAGGAGGTCTAAGGTAGGAGTATAATCACCTAAGAGTTGGGGGGAAAACTAAAACATGAAGAGGCTAAACTCTGAAGAAGTTTGAATTCAGATAGGGGAATACCTGATGAGAAGCTGTACTTCACTGAGCTGCTGGAGATCTTGGGAGATTTCTGGCACCATACTGATCAGACCATGTATTCTGCATTACAGTTCATACCTAATCACATGTTTTTCTTGAGACATCCCACTGAATTATAAAGCATGGATAACTGAAAAAAAAGTACTTACCAGTATCCTTACCCTAAATACACATTTCTGGTATTTCTATGAATTTCTCCTGGGTTCTTTCTGTTCAATAATATTCTTGTTCCCTCTCCCTACCTTCACATTCTATTGTCTCTCTCCTCTGGTATATAGACAAAAAAAGCAATAGAATTTGCTGTTTGCATGTTCTCATAATGATTTTCCATCAAGAATATAACTGTTTTAGTGATAGGTATTTTTCCATTGTTTAGCCAGATTTTGTAGGAATTATGACTAAAAGCTGAACATGACAATCAAAGAACTTGAATTCTGCAGGCTAAACTTGAAGTACCTATTTTCTTCCTTTTTTTCCCCCCCCTTAGAATGAAGGATTATTATTAGTTCTTTTGCAATACTTACTGATTACCAGTTGGTTGTGACTTTTTTTTTTGTTATTACTCATTTAATAATGATGGCCCAGATGGATTGTATTAACAGACTTGTAATTTAAGACTTCTAACAGAAGAGTAGAAGGAAGTTGGAAACTTCAGTTTGTACCAACCTTCCATTAAGCCACATTGCCTATGTGTCTGTTAAGGTGCTTTTTCCTCTCTACACTTGTTGCGTACCACGCTTGTTAAGCACCATCTGTTTGCTGTTTAGTTAAATGACAGACCTGAGACTCATGGAACCTCAGGTGCTAGTCAGTGAATCTGTTTGCTGGTGTCTTCCTTTTAAGTCTGAGATCAGCAAGAATGAATGGATCCTTAGGTACCTGTATGTGCTGTACAGTGATGCTCCACATGACAGGTACATCTATGAAGCAATGTATTGATAACATGTGCAGAGAAGTGATACAAAGCAAATGTAGTGAGTCTGGCTTCTGATAACTCATTTATTACCTGTATCTGATGAAATGTTTTCATTGGTGAAATGTGTTCAGCTTTGTTGAGGAAGTCACTGACAGAGCATCCCTGCTAGTGGTAGTGTACTAAAGGGAATCCCTCTTCATTTAATGGAAGGTCAGGGCTGGCTCAAGGTGAAGAGCTAAGCATGTTACAATGGTAAAGATGACTTTGCTTTTGTCAGGGTAGGTGTAGAGACAGGCGTGATAAATCAGCCATGTGGGAGCTGCACAGGGACTTAGCTAACTGCCTCCGATTGGTCCTGAGGCAGATGCACCATTTCCTGCAGTGTCTCCATGGAAGTCCATAAAGGCAGTTATCTCAGTCAAGGAGCTATGCTTTCTTCACTAGCTTTGCTGAATAATACCTAAATGTTTGTTTTCTGTTTCTAGATGTTTATTGTAACTATACAAGTGAGGAAAATAAACTTCGCACTCAAATTTTTGTGAAGTAATGTATAATTTGGATACTGTGCAGCATTCACACAGTTCTGTTAGGAACATATATAAATGTATTTTTAAGATGTTACTTGTTGTGTGCCTTTAGGGAGGATGTTGGAACATTAATATTTCATTGTTGTGTTTACTAGAATAAATAACTTTACATTGTGTTCTGGTAGTTGTAGAAATGGATATTCGATTGTACTTTGTTACGTATGTTCTTCTTTGCTAAATGCTCACTTAATGGTGTCACTTTAAATGCTTAGAAACAAGCTTTTCCCAATGCAATTATAGGCCTAGAAAAATAAAAATTATTAGATTCCAAATGTTAGTTTTAATCTGTCTGCCTTCCTCCCGTCAGCATTAGAAATAAACCGATATGTTGCCTCTCTGTTCATCTGCCTTGCCAGGAGTGGGCATTAGACCTGATTATGTGCTTCTTTCTTTTACCTGGATTTGTACGGATGAAGGTTTTGCACCTTATGTATCAAGTACAGTTTACCCAGTGCAAAAGTGAAGAGATAGTATTATTTGTATAATTGAAAGTGTTATAAAAAGATGACAGAAGTCAAATGCCTTTTTTTAACTGTACACATTGTGGATCACTCTTTTTCAACATTCAGATACTACTCTGTAGAAGGTAGTGGTAAAAACAGTTGTACATGTGGAACGCATAGGAACAAAGTCTATGAACTTAGAAAAAAAAAATCATTGTTTTTTCTTGTACCCAAGTCTTGAAGTTTCATCTTAGCATTTTTTTTGAGCAAGCTTAGTGTTTTCCATAAAGAAGTCAGCAGGAGCTATGTGAACTTACTGGTGTTATGTGCAAAAAGAGTGCACTTTCCTCAGCAGTCAACTTCATGGGATAGCCTTGGTGCACACTGTGTGCCAAGTGCTGTCTGCTCAGCAAAGGCCGACTGGCACATTGACTCTTCTCTCCTGCTGCAACCAGAAAGAAACACTGGACTGATCTTTTAAATACATTTCAATGTTCAGATGCATTTTGATTCCCAAGAGCTTTGTTTTTTATGTAATTACTTCTTTGGAAATTTTGCTATGTGTAAAAAATCTGATTAATTAGTTTGGTATTTGCAGACCTGACAAGTGCAAGAGCGTGAGTGCATGAGCAATCTTTCTTGGCAGGGATGAAAGGAGCTAATGATATATGCTCCTGAAGAACAAAGGTACTCTGTTTCTCATGCTGGGGTTTGGCAAATCCAGCAGACCAGGAGGGGAGAGGCTGCACATCTGTCCCCGTGTGTGCAGAGCACGTCTGTACACGCCAGGTATGCAGGTTAACACAGACACATGAAGTATGAGCACAGACAACACCAGTAGCTGCATTCCTCTCCCCTGAGAGTGGCTGTCCACTAGTACAAAATGTGCTGTGGGGGTGGTCTGGTCAGGCTGTCAGATCTGAGTCTGTAGTTTAGGCTGTCTCCACCTTTGTGCCTCTGTGCTCCTTTGAGCTCATGGAGGTGGGTCTTGAATGGGCTGATGTCTCCTGTGATGGTCCTGGGAGCAGCTGGGGAGGGTATTACTTGGGCTCCTTTCTGTGTGTGCAGGTGATCTCTTTCACCCAGAAATTTACTCTATGTAATCTTCTGAGGGAGAAAACATGCCACAGAAACTGAATTTAAGAGCATTGGTTTTGCACATTTGAAATATGTCATGTTGATTGGATGAGACAGAAACTAGTGCTGTCCCTGTACTACAGTTGTTTTTGTATTCACATCTCCAGAAATCCCTTTTAAAAGAAGTGATTTCTGTTGCAGATAATAGATTTTAAACAGTGAGTATTTGTCACAGATGTTAAATGAACTTCATTTTCATTTGCAATGTGGGATGAAGGAGCATTTGTGGAAGGCTGCATTATCGCCAACTGTAGGTTGTCTGTATAGTGCATCTTTCTTAAGCTTGCAGAGAGGTACAGGTAATTCTGATGTCCTTTAATTTCCTAGAAATTAATGAATGTGTGCGTTACTCAAGCCTGTGTTGTTTTATTGTTTCTGATGTTCACCAACTTGGGAAGCACTGCTTGTTTTGATGATTCTTTGCATTAGCAAAATCAAACTTTTGAACAATGTCTAGTGAAGAAGAAATGGTAATAAGGGTAATTAATTCGTCGGTTCATAGTGTAGCCATCTGCTGCTGTTCTTCCTTTCTGGGTGTGAACTACAGAAGGGATCTTTTGTTTTTGAAAAACAGGAGTGGAGAAGGGTGAGAGTGCAATAAAAATGAGTGCATGTACCCTGAGAATTCCATTGGATTAGTTAGTAGCTTATTTGCAGCTTGAGAAACTGGAATGTGCCCGTCTGAGCCAGCTGCTGCTACACTGGGGGTATTAACACTTGCAATAACACTGGTTAGGGCCAGAATCAGAAGACATTTACCCGCCTTCTGTCCAAGTGAAAGGGAGGAGAAACTTCCAGTGTGTGTTGACCATGGTGTGGTAAAAAGGATGTTGAGAGAGATTTTGGATGCAGAAAGATGTGTTTGCAGGGTCTTAAGCTGACATAGTTACTTTTGAGTGGAAAAAACAAAGGAGAGAGAGAAAGGAAAAAAGGTTTAAAGCCTGCAATGAACTCTTTTGCTGCTACAACCAGCGGGGAAAAGAAACAGTGTGGTCCCCAGCCAAAACTCTTGATTGGGTAGGCTTTCCAGGGCAGTGGGTACTGACAATGATGGTGCTTTTTCACCACATTTGCCTCTAATGTGATGCACTTCTCAGTGGGATCCACTTGATCACACTACTGCTCATTCCTGTTTGCAGTGGGATCAAAGCCTACTTGGGGTCATATGATGGATAGTTTATAAGCTTTCTGTTTGTGTGTTACAGGGTAATACTTATCTGCTTTGTTACTCACTAGGTCTTGGTCTTGTTCTTCCTCATATAAATGGAAAGTTACAAGTAATGAAGAGAGCGGGGGAGAAAGGGTGGTCTTACTCCAGTTGCAGGACTTCCCCTGAGACACTGACATAGACAACACTCCTGGGCTTTGCACAGAATCTCCGGCACAACCACAGCAAGGGAAAAGACTGCCCTGGCAGCTTTAGGAAAAACACTGCAGCAACAGCCTAAGACTTACCTTGGAGTTATGGAGCTGTAAGGGAAGGGCAGGATGCAGAAATGCAGACAGAAGACCCCTGCTGTCACAAAGGATAAGATGTTAATGGCACTGTGTAAATATTAAAAGTATGTAAAAGATACATTGTGCTTGCATCTTTAGGGAATATCCTTTTGGAGCTTGTATTAGCTACTGATGAACTCCATTTCTGTAATGTATGTCTTGCAGTGGTGCGCTTTGCTGAAATATTGAGAAAGGGTGTTCAGTTTGCTAACAGTAGATCAACAACCTGTTTTTTATTTCAATCAGTACTTCGCTGTTTCCTCTTCTTGGCTAAAATGAAAGTATGAATTTCCGTTATCATACTAGAAATGCTTCAAGGATCAAAATTACTTTAACTTAACTGAAATTGAGTGGTTCATGGAAGATACACACACACACACAAAAATCATGTAGCTTGTTGAGCTGGTCAGACAAAAACTGTTTAAATTAATTTCTCCCAATAGAACTTGGACCACCTGCACTATGAGTTTGTCCTTAGGACTTAGGTTAATACTTTTCCCTACTGACTTCTCAAATGTAAGCCTAGATAATAGAACTAAGGAAATAACATGTTTAAAAAAAGTATAATTTTACAAAAGAACATTTCAGAAGAGTGTGGATGAAAGTTAACTGTCTTATTCATGTTTTCTGCAGGTCACAGTGCATCAACCAGATGAAAGAATTAAAAGAACAATGTGAAGAAAGGATAGATGAACTTACAAAAAAGGGTAGTGATGTACCACAAATCAAAGAAAACAAAGAATTCTCAGAAGATTCAAAAAAATATAGCCAGGTATTGTTTGGATAATTTCTTGAAAATATTTTTCTTAGCAATTCTTAAGTATTTCTCCAGCTTTCTGCTGTCTCCAACTAACATTAGCCGAGCTCATTAAGTTTTGCTCTGCTTCAACATTTGTTGAATCTTTATGATGTATCGGAAATAGTGTGATTCCAAGGACAGCCCTTTAGTGAAGAAATTTTTCCTAATATCCAATCTGAACTTCCTCTGGTGCAAATTGGGGCCATTTCCTGTGGTCCTGTCACTTGTTGCCTGGGAGAAGCCACCTCCCACCTTAGTGCAGCCTCCTTTCAGGAAGTTGTAGAGAGTGATGATGGAAGTGCAGCAGCGAGCTGATGATGGTTGAGAGAGCATCAGATTCCCATGACCATGGAAGTAAGCAGATATCAGTTTGGACCAATCAACTGTGGCTTCTTTGTCCCACTGAATTTACTGATGCAGAGCTGCCAGGCAGGTAACCTCAAGCAGGCCTCATCATATCTGAGCTTAACTTTTCGTTTTCCTTCTTTTTCGTCTCAAGTCTTTCTCTCTGATCATTCTCATAAATTCCTCTACAAACAACTCCACTCTGCTCTTTCCCCACTGGCCCTGGCTTTGCACCCTCATTTAGTGTTTCTGAGACGACATTAGGAGAAGAATAACCCTGTATGTCAGTGCAAGTGGGGTCCTGACTGCTTGAGCAGTGACTGTGGAGAGCCTGGGTGCTACAAGGGATGCCACATGAGCCAGTGGTGCAAGGTCAGCTGTGTATGGGGTTGCATTAGGAGTACCATGGCCATTCCATCTTTTTAAACCTCTTCAATCTCCATTCAACCCTAGAAATGTGCTGTAGCTGGACAATCACCCTTCTCTACAGGCAGCTCCAGGTTCCCTTCATAGAGGATGGGTGTTTTCAAAGCCCTGGGTACATCCCTCAGTTCATCTTTCCTTTTCACCAGGAACTAATGGTGAATTGTTAGTCAAATCCTGTGTTTCTCAAGAGGTCTGAGCTTTTCAGTCCTGAACACATGGAGGAAACGAAATTTCAGTGCTGCAGTTTCTCAAGCCTCTTTGGAGGAAGAGCTCAGGCTGAAGGTGATGCACTGGGGAGATCCTGTTTTATTACAGAGATCCTTCTGAGCCAGTGTTAGACACACAACAGAGCATTAGGGTAGGAGGTGACAGAAGGATGATGCATGACTCAAAGGTAGTGAAGCAAATGCAAAAATTTAATAATTAATAAAAAACTTAATAACCATTAATGACAACAACCAAAGCAATAATGATAATTATAATGATATTGAAACAAACAAATGTAATACAAACAAACAAATTCCCCTCCCTCAGCCCCCCTACCAAAATACTTAATTCAGATAATCTGGGAGTCATTTACGGAGAGAGGTGGTAATCTTATTGCTGTGAAAACATATGAGGACTCACTTTCTTAATGGCATCCTCAAGCTCCCTGTTCCCTATGCTGTAGATAAGGGGATCCACTGATGAAGACACCACCAAGCACAGGAATGTCAGCCACGAGATCTAGGGGATGGGGAGGAGATGGAAGGGGGCCTCAGGTATGCAAACAGGCCACCACTGACATACAGGGAGACCATGGCCATGTGAGGAAGGCCAATGCCAATGTGAGTAAAAGCAGTACATGGAATTTTAATTGCTAAATTGGAAGATCTTCAAGATCATGTATATGTTAGCCTTAATCTTTAAGTGGGTCAGATGCTGAGAGCAGTCTACTGCCAGAACTTAATACATTCTTAAGTAAGCTCTATCATATTAAACAGGTACTATTGCCTAGGTGGTAATTTATGTTTTCTTTTCTTAATCCTGCATTCAGCATAGTTACGGACCAGTTCCCATACAAGCCTTACGTAACTGAAGTCTTATTATGTCCAAATGCAGTTTTCCTGCCCAACAGATTACTAATAGTAGTTAATGCCATCTGTTTTTTTGCTCTGCTGACCCTGAGGCAGTAGCAGGGTAACAGTGGATAAATGTGGGGTGTTACAGTTCTGTGACGCTCAGAGAATAATCGACAGCAGTGAGCTCATTCTTACCCGCAGTTAAAGGAGGCCTGTTAAAATTCTCCTAATTTGTCATGCTGTTACATAGAAACATTACTGCATATTTAAAATTGTATGGTACTTCCATCACCAATAAAAAATTTCAGTGCAAATATTTCCAAGTGTGTTAGGATTTTTTTTTTCCCCCCTACTGAATTCTTACCTCTGTTCCATTTACCCTTCCAAATCCAGGAGCAGTTACATAGACCAATGCTTATCTTGTGTGCATTCACTTTATAGGTCAATATTCAGCTGCCAGCCTTGAAGCAAACTGAGTTCAAGCACACTGACTTGGAACAGCAGAAACCCACTGAAGATGTACCTAAAGCAGTACCCACACTAAGACAAACAGACTTGATGAAGGCTAAAGGTGAGATGGAAATCACTGTCTTACTAACAACTGGTTAAGAACAGTTGTAATTTAACTGAACATTTAAAAACATTTTTGTACACAAGATCAAGATGGAAAAAAGTGACACCAAGAGTCTGAACTTTTTAAGTAGTTTTCCAGCCTTGGAGAGGCACTGCTGAAGCATTTTTATTACTAGCATTTCTACTGGTTCAGTTTTGTTGTAATTGACATGTTGCATATAAAGGAAAATACAAATATTTACAATTCTGGAGTCATATTTATCATTTAATATGGAGAAAATACCCTACACTTTTGGAAGGCATGATTTTCAAGCACACTTAAAATCTGCCTGCTTAGGAAGTTTGACACATCCAGCCTGCTACTCCTCCCTAAGGAATAGCTGAAAGTTAGGCTTAAAACGAACACACATACATGCTTCTCACTTGTCACTGAGCAAAATGCAAATACAGAGGAGATCTGATTAGTTAACTTAATGGTTTAGTTAATGGTTTAGTGATTGCTTTTGGTACTAAATTTTGGAAACTGTTAATTTGAGTGGACCTTGTGTGTCCATCTTGCACAGTAGTGTGATAGAATTTTGATTCCCTCTTTAGTTATTCATATTTGCTATCTTAAATTACAATCTTGTCCACATGCAACTCTCATTTTAGAGAGCTAGCAATTGAAGACAACATCTACATATAGTTTATTTGGGCAAATTTTATTTTTTTTAGTTACAAATGCAGATACATGGGGAAAAAGATAAGTTAATGTCTGCCAAAAATGATAGGACTCCTGTACTTCCTCTTCATATTTAAAAATAAGAACAGCTGTGGTTTACCTGCAAAGCTGCCTATGTGACTGCTTTGTCCTGAGCTACTTTTAAATACAGAGTCAATTTTATTGTTTGTAACAAAATGTAGTACACAGAAACCTGATGTTTATATAGCACACCACAATTTTTATTTAAACTGTTTTATTTCACTTGCCCAAGTTATTAACCACACACCCCAAAATTTTACAGGATGTAGAAGCATGAATCTGATGATGGTAAACAAAGTCTCCTCCTTTAGCTGTTCCCAGTAGGAAAAACATGAATTATCTTCTTTTTATCTTTGGAACTGAGGCGGTTGAAAGATATTATTTCAGAGGAAAAACAAGAATTGAATGAGAAATATAAAGCATTATTTATTAAAGGTTTTTAACTTGTGCCACGACTGAAAGGCATTATTTTTTTCACTCAGAATAATTTTTATTGTTTTCAGAAAGAATAGATGGCCAAGCTGACATCAGAAAACAGGAGCCTAAGGCAGAAGAGGAGCAGCTTTTTAGTCAGTTGAAAAAACCACAAGATCCCCTCAAGGCTGCTGCAGGTCACAAGGAGATGCTACCTGAATCAGAGAAGGAGCCAAATCCATCTGGAAATGAAAAACACGTAGCTGGGCAAGATGTGTTACAGCCAGCACCAGAGCAGGCTGCCAGTGAGGAAGTTGAGAGGGAACAGCTCCTAAACTACGATGCTAAGCAGGACGACTTGTCCCTGGGAAAGGCCGGTTCGTAGCATGTTAAGAACAGTATTGTTAAGAACAGTAAAGAAATGAAACTGGAATAGGGCATGATTTCTGCAACAGCAGTGGCAGCTGTCCAGATTTGAGTACAAGTTTTCACAAAGGTCAGTGTGATATGGGAAAGGTGTCAGTCAACAGCAGTCTTCTGCAGTCCATGGGTAAAGACGGAGGCTTCTGTTTGTGCAACATGGAGCTACCAGGCTGGGTTCCTCTGCATCACCACAGCAGCCTTACTGGCTTTCTCTCCATTAGGCTATACAAGGCATTTGGGGAAATTAGCCCCAAAATGTTTTGGTACTGGGGCTTTTTAAGAATAGGATGCATTTGAAAAGGATGAGATGTTAACTATTCAAAGCACTGATGGATGAGTAGAGAGTTTCTTATGCATGTTTTGCAGTTAGCATTACCATTGACACTGTAAAAAGACTAGCTATCAGTATTTCAAAATAAGATACATGACTAAAACCTCTTAGGACTTCAGGTACCTGAAGTTTATTATTGTGAGTCTGCAAAAACACGTATCAGATGTTGTACAGGTGCTGGTTTCAGGCATCTACCATGTGGCCTTGAACCACATCTCCATGGCACGGAGCAGCACAGTATTGATGTATCTAAACCTGACCAGTATCTAGACATCCCTCTGTCTTTCTTGAGGGATTTGGTCTCAGGTGGACTCAGTAGCCCAGAGTAATCAAAAGACAAAACCTTATAGCAGTCAGAGCAGGAATTGATGCCCACAAAAAATGCTGTGTATGGTTTTCTAGTAAAGACATTCTTAGAATCATGAGTTATGAGTTGTCTGAGTGTTAACATTGTTGCTAACTTGGCAGGGATAAATAATCCCTGATAAACTAACAGCATTGATAAACTAGTATTTTTCCAACTGCTCCAAAAAGATGCTGGCCAGAGCAGGCTGTACCCCAAAGAGATGTAATTAAAAGTTACCTAAAATGCTGCCATTTTAACAGAAAAAAAATAGCAAAAAGATTAGGTTAAAAAAATCATCCAACAATTAGAGCAAAGAAAAGCTCTGCCATGCAGCCTGTGAAAAGTCTGCATTTCTGTGAGCAAAAAAGACTAGTGGTATGTTCTTCAGGCTGATTGTTCAACAAAAATACCATAATTACTGCAGAGGTTCTTTGTAGCCAAAGGAGCCCTAAGGTAGAAATACTTCTTCAGTATTCTCTGCGTATCCTCTGTCTTTCAGGAAGAGCTGCTTCTGAAAGTTAGACAGCTTTAGGTCTGTAACTATAAAAATCTATTTGATGTGGTGGTCTGAATATGGACAACATACAGCTTAAAGCTTAAATTTTCAAGCCTGTTTCTAAGCCACTTACTAACTGGAGGGCTTGGCTTAAGAATATTTTGAACCAGAAGCTCTAATCTATCTTGAGTGGAGTATGTTTATACCTCTTGTGGGATATGCTTATACCTCTCTGCTGTTATGTTTTTTTCTGGCTGATCATTTGAAAAATAAAGACAGTCGTTTGGCAGTCAGAAATAATGTTTCCATTTACTTTTGAGCTCTCTATCTAAAGAAATCTTAAGATAGTCAATAAAAGTTGCTTGAGATGAGTTAATGACTGAGTGAAGAAAATGTCTTCTAGGAAAGTACTTTTGTGTCAGGTTAGCACATCAAACTACTCTTTTTTTTATGCTGTATTCACAGCTTTTCCCTTGTGGGACAAACTAAAACAAGAAGGGCAGAAGCTGAGACGTTTTGGTGGTAGTGGCAGTACATTTAAAAGCAATATCACAGTCAAGTTTTCAGCATTGGTTTCAGCTTTTGCTCTTCCTTGGGCTGTCCTTTAGTGTATTCTGAAATTGTTCAATGCTTTTTCTTTCTGTCCATCTGAGTGTTGGCTGAATTTTATCGGACTTTCCAAATCCCAAAAGATTCTGGCTTTTATCTGGTTCTTTAGACAAGATTTACAGCAAAAGTTGCTCTGAAATTTAACACTTAAAATGAAAAATAATATGAAAACCTACTCTGAACAGCAATTCATTCAGCAGCAAAGTAAATACATGGAAGATGATTACAGTCACTGTTTCTCTGTGCAATGACCCTATGGTATAGCATAAAACTACTTCATTTTAAATCTTTTCAGAAAAACAGGAACATGAAGCAATGAACCAGGACAAGGATGTTGATTACAATTTAGATGAGAATGAAGCTGAATCAGAAACAGACAAGCAAGCAGCACTTGCAGGGATTGAAAATGGTAAAAAAGAAAAAAAAAAAAAAACACCAAAAACCATTTAAAGCCAAATACCATGTGCTGAAAATTTTAAGATGGTATTTTGCATGGTATTCTGTAGTAAGATATACCGAGCTAATTTCTGTTTTCTCTTTGAGCTTTCCCTCATGTTGATAGTGTGATTTATTTTCTGTATAGCATCACTGAAGCTACTCTTTAATGGGGGGCATGAGGGTGTGGTACCTGTGACTTAACTATACAGTATTTAATAGTCTTTACAAAATTTCTCCTGTAGTTTTCTACACAGAAGAACTTTCTTTATGAAAAACTATCACTTCTGCCTGTTAAAGAGATTTCTTTACCTTTTTTATCCTCATTAGTTCAAAACCCTGAAGATATGAAGAACCAGTTATCTGACCATGGTGAAGGAGGACAGTTGTGAACAAAGGAGGTTCATGACGCAACTTAGTCACCTCTTCATCTATATGCAGCAATGATGAGAGCAAAGTGATCTGAGAATGTTTTGATTACCTTCTTGAGGCTTGAATAAGGGCCCAAATGAAGTACTATCTTCCTGTGAAGTTTTGGTACTGTTTCAGTGGGGGAAAAAAGCAATCTGAAATCTCTGGAGGCTTGTTAAAACAGATGACATCTGCACTGACTCTCTCCTTCCTACTGATTATAAAACTGAAATCAGCAAGCAATAAATGTAGTAACTTTGAAGTTGGCTATAGTCATACTACAGTAATGGTATATGTGGATTGTTGGTACATGAGCAACAGTCCTCTGCCAAGGATGGATCTCTCTCCGGAGCAACGCACAACGAAGAAATACCCAGCCTAGTTTCAAGAACTTAAGAGGAGCTAAGCCACCGAACATGGGAAGGATGAAAAACAGTCCATGCTGCAATCTACCCTTGTGCCCCTGGCACTTTTTTACTGCAACATAAATACACTCAGAAAACAGAATGATATATTTCACCTGGGCCTTCTGAATTAAGTTTCTAGTTTACACTGTCTGGATGAGTTCTTAGCTTCAAGGTTAAAAAAAAAAATCAAAACAATTCTGATAATAGTGCCTTCTTTTTAAGAGATTAGGCAGGAAGATTTTTCTGAAAGCTTTGTTGGACTCTAGTTCACAAGTTCAGTAATACAGTATGATTCAGTTACCACTAACTTGCACAAGTTTAGCATAAAAATTCAAACTCACAAACTTTTTGTGACAGAAGCCCTCTGAAATGGTGTGCTACCCTTTACTCCACCCAACCACTATCTTCTGGTAAAATGTAGGAAGGCAAACGCTTGCTTTGTTAGAACAGCAATCATCCTAGTTGTTCAGTGTGAATATTCCTCTCTGCTGGACTTTTGAAGGAGGTAAACCAGACTAAGCATTTAGAAGACATGGCAGTGACTCCTACAGGTGAAGCTGTAGTCGTTGTGAAGTCCTGTGTTTATCACAATCTATCATCTTGTTAATTTTCTGTAGTCTTCTCTTTTCTGTAACTTGTTCAATGTAAACTAGAAACTAGTTTACTTGCAGTAACCTAGAAATATCCTCTACTTACCACTAGGGCACCCTTTATTGCAGTCCAACCTCCATGTCTGTAGCCAGCTGTTTTGCAGAATTTTTGTATTTGTGTCTGTTCCCAAGACTGACATCTGTGTTTAGAGCAATCTTTGTGAGTATGAACCAACCTCTGTTTAGACAGCAGACAGCTGTGCCTAACTTGCCAACGAGCAATTCCATTTAAGAAAATATAAATTTGTCTTTACTTTCCCTTTCATTTTGTAACTAACTCCTTTTGTGATGTCAGTCCTCAGTGTACTACTTTACAACTCCTGAACCTTAAGATACCTAAATATGCAAGTGGAAGGTTGGCTCTTTTGTGTATGAAAAAAGTCTTAGTTCTCATCAAGTGAAGGTCAGAGCTTAAGTCAAATGGTGCCTATTAAGCCCAAACACAGAAACACTTTTACTGATAGTTTTTCACCATCTAAGTCAGACTTAGGTCTAGGCCACTACAGTCAACACAGCAGGGAAAAACAAATGCTTGTAAGCAGAAGAGAAGAGTTTTGAGCATCTGTTCTGGTATTGGGAAACTTGGATTATTGGCTTTTTTTTTTTTTTTTTTTTTTTTGCAAATAATGGCATGTTTTAACATCAAAATGTTTACCCATATTCTGGATGATAAAATTATTTACCCATCTTCTCAGCATTTTCATAGAACTTTATCTGTAAACAGTTATGCCTCTCAGATTAAGTTGATCAGCAATTTAATATTGACTGCTAAAGAGCATATGTTCTACAAGTATAAAAGACACAGTGAAACACTGTATTCAAGTTGAATTAATAGCTTTACCATTATCAAGTTCAGAATCCCAAAGAAAAACTACTTAATTAGTATATTGCCAGAGAGCTCTTTTTTTAAAACTGTTTTGGCTGTATTTCTGTACATCTTTGGGTTTCTCTGAGCCACCTGGACACTGTCCTCCATAAACAAGACCATCTTTGTACAAGGCACACTTGTAGACCTCTGAAAACCTGCATAAAAGCAATGTTCAAAAGCATGAAGGACTACAGTTTTATTTGCAATGGCTTCAAGTGCTACAGGAATATAACTAGGGTGATATTACTTCTTTTCTGTGATCATCTTGGTGTTAAATTAACATATCCTTGATTTTTTTTTTCTTAACTAAGCCTGAGCCCTTTTAAGTAAGCATTTTAAAATCAATATAATCTTGTCTAGTGAGTATTTGCCTTATTCTGTACAGTTCATGCACTTCTAATTTTAGTGAAAATGGGAAAGATGATTGTTACTTTTTTCTTAGTTCCATATGTGATGTAGTTCTCCTTTAACGGCTCCTTGCTTTGGAGAAATATCAAAAGCTGTCCTTGAGCTACTGTCTTGTAGTTCAAGAAAAATTTTTGTGATGGCCAGATGAATTCTCAGTGCTATTTTACATCTACATATTTTAGGCTTTGTATTCCTTTGGCAGCTACACAGAAGTATTCAGGTATATTAACCATAATGATAAGCAAACAAGTAATGTGATATGCAATCTCCTTAGCAGAGAAATTGGGGAAAATCATGTCTTCAGGGCAGTACTTCTGCTTATTTCAAGAAGCTGCAAATTGCTGGCAGAGAAGTGGGTGTTCCTCATTCTTTTCAAGCTCTGCCTCAGCAGTGCTGCTGCTCAGGATATGCAGCTGCACTGATATTACTCTACAGTAAAATTAGGTGATAGAGCAAACACAGAAAAGGGTCTTGCATGGTCAAGAAGGAATTAAAAGCTCAGCCCTACAGCGGAAGTAATTTTACACCAAAATAAGAATTGTCCTGTCCAACAAAGGATTTGCTTATATAGCCTAAGTATGGTTTGGCCTTTAGTAGGGGGTTTATCAAAGAACAAGTCACCTTTTTGAACATTTTTTTCCCCTCTTGTAGTAGGAGGTTGCTCAACACAACAGCTTGCCTCTGTTATTTCTGAAAGCACAGGAGGCAGAACTATTCTAGGAAGGAAAGGGGAGGTTTGAGGCCTCTCCTGTTTTGGATATCTATCTGTCTATCACTGCAGAACACAGTAGGATCCAGCAGCCCCACTAGAGTCAAAGCGGGAAAAAAGGTAATTTAAGAACTGAGTGATGTAACAAAGTAGCAATCCCTCCTTTCCAAGGCAAGCAGCATGATTGAAACAAAGTTGCAGAGTAAAAATACCCCTCAATACTAGTGCTATTGCCAGTGACTATGGCAGTGTTTGCTGGGCAGATTCTCCACTACCGTGAGAATAAAGACAAAGGAACAAACTCCAACTAGGAATCACTCCGTTTCTCACTGTCTTCAAAGGCTTCTTCTACATTTCAGACAAAACCCCTCTGAGAAAACTGACTTTGGTAAAACAAAACAAAAAAAAAAATCACTGAATTCAGTGCAGTAGGAGCTAAATGCCTAGTTTTCATCTGCCCTTGATTTCTGTAAAGATTGTTTTAGTTTGCAGGATGTGGGGAAAAAAAACCCAAACGTTCTCTCTACTTGCAAAGTGAGCAATTTTGATACAATTTAGACAAAAATATGGAAACTCACAATCTCTCTTAAGTGACTTTGCTGAATGGAGAATTTTGCATGATTTTTATTTAGTCCCTAAGCCACCATTTTCTCTCAGATCACATTAATAACATTATGATTAACTCTGTAATAAAATCAATTAAGGTATGGCATTCTTCAACAATACAGTTGATTAAAATCAGCTTCACACATAAAATGCATTAAACTTTATGATAAACCAGTTTCAAACAGCAGTTGTCAGATCAGATAAAGGCAGCAGACTGCACATATTCCACATAACAGTACTTGTATCCTGGAGGTCCCTTGCAGTCTGAGTGCAAGCCTAGATATTCCCTCTTATAGCTGGTATCTGCTACACAGGTATCTTCAGGTATTCTAACAATAATTTCTTGTCCTTCAAACAAGCTTCACAACTGGGAAGTATTTATGAGGAGAGAAATCAAATTCTGGAGGAACCTAGAAAGAAAAGATTTAAACATTGCACAGCAGTACTACTGCATTTGATACTCATAATGAGAATACCCTGCAGACAGAAAAAAAAAAACCCTAACAGCAGAAGACAGATAATAATTTAAAGAGCTAGGACTACTTGTTTTTCAGAAAAATACTCCAACCCATTTCTGGATATGTCACTCATTATTCAGCAGTGATGGCAACAAAGTTTTAGAATGCTGGCGTGCCTCTTAGGTGTGTTTCCTTCATCCTTCTGTGCCTCTGACCCATGCAGTGGCACTCACTAATCCTGACAGCCAGCACTCTCACAATTTTGTTCACACAAGCTGCTGATACACATGATTCTTGTTCCTGCTCTTGAAGAATATCCATATTTTTCTGTATTGTCCCACATGCTTATCCCAGTTTTTCTTCCTCAAAACATTTAGAGATGCGAGTTTTCCATATTTAAATAACTACAACAAACTATTTCCAAGGGGAAAATGAATTAAGTTTCTTTTCCCTGTTCTTTTAACAGTTAGAGTAACTATGGCTTGAATCTGTTCATTTGGCTCCCGAGAGACCTGTGGTGGCTTCGCATAGAATTACAGGTTGGAAAAGATCATTGAGTTTAACGTTAATGTGTATAATACTATATTTTACATTCAATTCAGCTGGCATTTCCTTACCTTAGAGTCTTTCTTGTGGCCTCCTGCCAGAAGCTTCATGACCACAATATTGGGTTTTGCAACTTTTAGAATTCGACTGACCTAAACACAAAACAGCAAGAAGTCTTCAACTGAAAGCATATGACTAATTTCAAACTATTTCAAAGATAAAACTCTAATGTTTATATACTTTAACACTACAACATTTCTCTTACAAGACCAATTTAACAGATATCACAGTGTTTTGGATTTGCTGGAATAAGCAAAAAAACGGAATAATTAAATTTAATGAAAGGTGCATTTATTTTCAGTCACTTTTTATTAAATTCAACAAATCATAGAAACCACTGCTTTAAAAATTCTGGAACATAAAACATGGAAACTATGGCAGGTTTTGTGGCACTCTCACAAATAAGGTATAGATAGACTCTAGGCATCTATCTTCAACATTACAGCACCCTGAGAATGGTAAAGTCGAGTATGAAACTGGTGGCTTTTTGCATGGAAATGCTCTTGACATCCTCAAAACTATCTCTGAACTATCTTGGTTAGCCACAAGTAGACAGCTTATGTGTGAATACCATCAGGATCCAGAGAACAGGAATTGATTCCTAAATGCTCAGGAGGACCTAATACTGTAACTATTCTTAACCTGCTCAGATGTGACAGAAAAAGCGTCCTCCTTCCTCCAAAATATAGTCACAGACACTTAAGCTTTTAAGTATGGACAAAGATGGAAAAATTCTTATCCATGTTTATAGCTCAGTGCTGAGAACACTGCTCCAGGGAACACGTGTGAGACTTAAAGCTCTTTTCATCCTGATGATATTCCAACCTATTTTTCCCACCTTTCAGGAGTCTATTTGAATTAGTAGATTCCAGATAAGTGGGGTGGGCACGTATCAGTTAAACAACTATTAGAAAGAGGTTAGAAGTCAATATGGAAGAAGGAAATATGTTGCTATCCAGTGTCTAAGATCCTCAGCAAAGAGAGGTTTGGGAGCAGTGGGCACAACCTTGATTATGTTGTCTGATGTACTGAAACAGATCACTGTGCAAGATGCCACCATTCTTCTCTGTCTGCTCTTTAATCAAAGCACTCAGCTTTGTTCAGCATTTTGATGAAGTACATTTTGGATCTCAAGCAGATCGAGCTGAAAACAAACACTAGTTTGAGCAAATGCTCCTTTTCTCAGTATTTCAGTCTTACCTCATTGTCTGGATTCGGAATATTCTCAAGAATCATTTTAGCTTGCTGGTAGTGTTTGCTAGCTGCCATGTAGAGATCTGATGACTGGGGAGGTGGGCTATACTTATTTAAATCAGACATTTCCTAGTGTGTTATAGAAATATATAAATATATATTAAAATCAGTTGCCAGAAAATTTTATTTTCATCACCTGAAATGAAAGCAAATTACTATATTCAAGAAAATTTATGTCAACTAAATACTATTTTAAGAATAAAAACTGAAGTTGAAAACATTTATATGAAATGGCAGAACCCAAGCAGCAATGCAGTGCTCAATGACTACTTTCTAGTGCTACAAAATGCAATGAAATTCTTATATTATTTATAAAAAACCCCTTCTCTTCTACAACTTGTCATTCATTTGCTTTAATAGTGCCATGCAGCAGGGTATGAAATTACAGGAAAAAAATAGGAGAAAAAAAAAGTATATTGTTTACTCAAATCAAGGTTACCACAAGCAAAGTGCTGAAACTGTTCAGAACTTCATTTTATATAATTTTAATTCTTTCAACGTTTTGGTTTTTTGACTAGGGATAAAAAAAACGCACCAAACTTCAGTGACAAGGAGGAAGTCATGATAGTCTTAATTTCCACTACAGCTGTTCATAACATTAAACTGGGAAGAGTGACTGGCATACAAAATAGCACTGTTTCAGTTCAGACTAACCCCCCAAATAATAGAGGCTAATAACCAGGTGGGTGAGCAGCAGCGTTATTGCAAACACCAACTTGAATACAAGCCAACAAGGTGCTCTTATTACAAATCAAACAAGCCTTGTTTAGGAATAAACAAGCAGGAGTATGGCCAGCAGATCAAGGAAGGTTATCATCCTATACTCCATATTTGTGTTGTAATATTTGAAATGCTGCATCTGGGGCTGGATCCACTCAGTTCAAGAAAGACATTGAGATATGGAGGTGGCTGGGGGATTACAGCATATGAGCCACAAGGAGAGATCAATGGACCTGGACTTTCTCAGTTAGGCAAAAAGGATGCTAATGGGTCATCTTAATTGCAGCCTACAACTACCTGAAAGACAGTTATAAAGTTGGCAGAAGGCAAAGGCTCCTTGTTAATAATGGTAGACAATATAACATGAGAGGCCACAGGTTGTGGTTTGGGTAATTCAGACTGGACATTAGGAAAAAAGGA